TACAAAATATTTTAGTAACAACCTTTGTTGCTTTCATTTTATCATCTTTTTCATAAAACTGCCGCAGAAGATGAGAACAGAACATGTCCTGTGAGAAATTATTGATCAACTTGGTAGACCATGGTAATCTTTTATTTACATTTAATCAAAACTGAAGAATGAAGATACTATATTGTCAATGATAGGTAGTTTGCTACCGTGATAAACTATTAGATTAATCAAGAAACATGAACACGAGTTCTCCAAAACTTACCCAGTCAATATGACCTTCTCCTGCCACATCTACTTGCAGGTAGAGTTCTTTCAACTGAATAAATTAACTTTAGAATGAAGCCATATGTATACATTGCTTATCATATTTTAAACTGTTTATAGTGGAAGGCAACAAATTAATTTATTGAAGTAGAATAGGGACGATGCATTACTAGTGCCCTCAACAAATATCCTTACTTGCTCTTCATGAGTTGATCCAAGTATTGTCTGACATGCCTCTCTAAATTCAGAGTATGATATTTTATCTGATCTTCCCTCAGTTATATCCTGGGGTTTTAAACGTTTAATGTACCGTGTGCAATTATTATGATTTGCTTTTAAAAGTTTAATAAAATAGTTAGTATATATAGGAATCATTAGTACTAATGGCTAATTTGAATGATCTCAAGATTAATATGTTAGCTAAGTGTATTGTAAAATCCAAATACTTCAATAAAAGATCATTGATACTTACAAGGAATGCATCCTTTAGATCTAGAAGATCCCTTATGTTCAAACCATCTTCAAGTTTAATGTGTCCTTTGACAGCAGCGCTGCAACAAATTTGGCATTAACTCTGAGTCAGTGAATAATATTTAGCATAAAGTAATGGATTTCAATAACAGATGATCCTGACAAACAGAATATACTAAATTAACATTATAAATATTGATTCACTCGGTTAAGGACTTATGTTACAATTGATCTGATTTGTTAGTTCAAATACATACCCTGACGTTTCCTCGCGACGATTAACAAGAACGGATGAATCAGCAGACGTCATTATAAAATACTGCCATGATTCATGATCCTAGAGAGATGTAGCACTGTGAGAATCCTTGTACGGTTTTGTTAGTTTTCTACACCTTGAGAAAAGACAATTTTATTATTTTTCCCTAATCAACCAATACAATCAATTAAGAAAAGACAATTTTTGAGGGTTTGTATATGTATGATGTGATCAACAGGTGTTAAATGAATGATCCTACAAAAGGAGGGCATTTCATTAGACTTTCCTAGTCAGAGATTGGGAGGAACATGATGAAGTTTAAGTCCTGCAAGTTTATAACATCATGCTCCCAATATAGAGTTCTTTAGTTGGGTTTTAATTGTACCTATTTTACCACGTGTATTCGACTGCTCATGGGACGTATTCCATGGATTTGCCCAAATCGGTGTCACAAATCGGCCGTCTCTTAGCTCAGACTTTTTAAAGAGAAAGTACATTATGTATATTGTCAGTGGCGTAAAGTTGCCTGTTGGCGCCCCCTCCCCTTTTGGTGCCCCATCAGGCGTCAGCGGGGTCCTTCGTTACGTTGTAGGTTTACAACCTACCAGGACGCGCGCCGAGTCGTATATGGAACAGATATTTTACGAGTATCACCCGTTAATCGTTACGCCACTGTATATTGTCCACTATCTCCATGAATGTTTCAGTATTGCACCGATATTTATATATACATCATGTACAGTTTTTCTTAGATTGAAATATCGGTTTTGTTGATTGTCTAAAGTAGAATTCTGCCACAAATATTTGGCTGTGATGTGGCCTTACTTGCGGGCACAAAGAAGCATTATTAGCAATTGTGTCCTTTACCCTCCTACTCAATTTGAACATTTTCGTGGCTAACTCATTGAACAACATTTGACTTAATATGCATTTAGTATTAACAATTAAACAATTCAGTGAGTTATCTTTTCATGTACCCGTACACTGTACAATGTAGTTAGTAAATGCAAACCAAACTTTTTTATCAGCCGCGCGCTAAGCCAATGTTGCAAGGTTAAAATATTTTGTACATTTTTCAGTGTAAATTAATTTATTAATTAATCACAAATTATTTTATTATAATAAAACCACTTCTGTGAAATGGTTATTTTGACTTTAAATATTTGAACTACATATGAATTGATTGTGGGTATGAAATAAAATTTGTTTTACTAAAAAATTTGTTTTACTACTTGTTTATCACCAGTCTTTCTCAACCTGATACAGCCGTCTTAAGGGGGCGCTAAATCGTTACCAGTTACGCCACTGTATATTGTCCACTATCTCCATGATTGTTTCAATATTGCACCGATATTTATATACATCATGTACAGTCTTTCTCAACCTGATACATATTAGCGACAAGAGAAACGCCACTGTCGGACGTGAGGAGAGTGAGGACTCCACAAACTACATTAAACATATTCCTTCTATAACGTCTTTAATAAATGTAATAGATTTGTAGTGTTGTAATTAGTTTATAATAATAATATAGTACGGCTTATAATATGAGATATGGTTCATCGTTGTATCACGTGGTGACCCCCACGGTCGCTTCACTATAGTGAGTTTCGACAATACAGGGGGAGCCGCGCACTCGTGCGCGGCGGGTCATACAATGTATGACAAGTTCATCGTTGATTCGATTATAGCTTAAGAGTTATGATAACCACCCCGGCGAAAGCCGCGGGCTTCATATTGCTGCGCGTGTTAAAACAAATTTTCGACATAAATTTGTCAGGAGATCGACTGTAATTCCGTTTACGAACCTTTTAAAGATATTTGACAGTGCCGATTCTATCCCTTTAAGGATTTTCAATAGTGCCGTGGAAAAATAAAACATCAAATTCATTCATCTGAACATTAGTAAAGGTTATAATGATATCAAATCAAGATTTCAAACGCGTACAATCATTAACCCTAATCAAGTATTGTCAACTGTGATTAAAGATCAGAGCAAAGTATGCTATCCTATATGTAAGCTACAATGAGGAAGAAACAGCATTATACAACAGTATTACAATAATAAATATAGGTATAATACCAAAATGTAACTATTACTGCTAATAAATACAGTTTAAAGATAAACTTATCAAATTTAAAATTGACACGAAACTAATACGCGGTTTATATTAGAATGCAACACAAACACTAAACACATCAAATAGAAACAAAAAAAGATATCTCGCACTGTCAGTCATTACATATTACAATTATATAAATAACACCGAAAAACTCATATATCAACAGCTCGAGTAGCGCACACTACTAGTACTATTCTCGAGTGTCTGACCGTGGCAGGGGAAGCGTCCAGGGTTCGATGCCGCCACCGTGATCTTTTAAACATTTTGTGAAAGTCGTCTTTGTTTAAGAAGGTCCACTTCCAGTAGCCCATTTTCTCCCCACATAACATTTCTTCATCCTCAGCAAGACCTGTTTTATTTTCCATTACAGTAATTCCATTTTCCAATGAAATCTAACTCTTCAATTTTAATATCAGCGGTCGGATCCTGAAATATGGAAGTGAAACTCAGTAAATTTTTACAGTCAAGTAATACTATAACTTCTATTCGTAAAATTTTACAAGATTTGTTTCCAGTTTCGGACAAATTCACAATATTACTACATAACAACTTAGTAATGTAAGCAGTGAGGGCCCTCTCCTAATTTTAATCTGTAGAAGTGCACGTGCAAATAACGCGCGACTTCAATGCAAAAATACGCGTGTGCTCTCGGCGCGCGCTAAAACTCTGCGCTGAAAATATTGGTTTGGTACCACAACGAGAGTTTTAAAATTCCCGCCAATTCCAAACTCCAGAAAAAGAATCCGAAATTTTGGGACAGCCAAAAACATATTTTGATTAATGCTTTTCGATTTTATTTGTCCGTAAACTGACAACTACAGTAAATCTATTTTCTCTACGAACTGGGCACGAGTAACTTGTTTTAAAATACAGCAAATCTATCTTCTCGGAGTGGGCACGAGTAACTTGTTTTAAAATACAGCATATCTATCTTCTCTGCGAACTGGGCACGGGTAACTTGTTTTAAAATACAGCAAATCTATCTTCTCTGCAAACTGGGCACGAGTTACTTGTTTTGAAATACAGCAAATCTATCTTCTATGCGAACTGGGCACGGGTAACTTGTTTTAAAATACAGCAAATCTATCTTCTCTGCAAACTGGGCACGAGTTACTTGTTTTGAAATACAGCAAATCTATCTTCTCTGCAAACTGGGCACGAGTTACTTGTTTTGAAATACAGCAAATCTATCTTCTCTGCGAACTGGGCACGGGTAACTTGTTTTAAAATACAGCAAATCTATCTTCTCTGCAAACTGGGCACGAGTTACTTGTTTTGAAATACAGCAAATCTATCTTCTCTGCGAACTGGGCACGAGTAACTTGTTTTAAAATACAGCAAATCTATCTTCTCAGCGAACTGGGCCCGAGTTACTTGTTTTGAAATACAGCAAATCTATATTCTCTGCGAACTGGGCACGAGTTACTTGTTTTAAAATACAGCAAATCTATCTTCTCTGCGAACTGGGCACGAGTCACTTGTTTTAAAATACAGCAAATCTATATTCTCTGCGAACTGGGCACGAGTAACTTGTTTTGAAATACAGCAAAACTATATTCTCTGCGAACTGGGCCCGAGTTACTTGTTTTGAAATACAGCAAAACTATATTCTCTGCGAACTGGGCTTGAGTTACTTGTTTTAAAATACAGCATATCTATCTTCTCTGCGAACTGGGCACGAGTAACTTGTTTTAAAATACAGCAAATCTATCTTCTCTGCGAACTGGGCACGAGTAACTTGTTTTAAAATACAGCAAATCTATATTCTCTGCGAACTGGGCCCGAGTTACTTGTTTTGAAATACAGCAAATCTATCTTCTCTGCGAACTGGGCACGAGTTACTTGTTTTAAAATACAGCAAATCTATCTTCTCTGCGAACTGGGCACGAGTCACTTGTTTTAAAATACAGCAAATCTATATTCTCTGCGAACTGGGCACGAGTAACTTGTTTTGAAATACAGCAAAACTATATTCTCTGCGAACTGGGCCCGAGTTACTTGTTTTGAAATACAGCAAAACTATATTCTCTGCGAACTGGGCACGAGTTACTTGTTTTAAAATACAGCATATCTATCTTCTTTGCGAACTGGGCACGAGTAACTTGTTTTAAAATACAGCAAATCTATCTTCTCTGCGAACTGGGCACGAGTAACTTGTTTTAAAATACAGCAAATCTATCTTCTCTGCGAACTGGGCCCGAGTTACTTGTTTTGAAATACAGCAAATCTAGTGAAACAAATTTTTTTTAGTGAAACAAATTTAAAATTTTATCCTTTATTTTACAATCATAATATAATAATATTTATAAGCCTCCGTTTTGAAAGTTTTAAATTTTAATACATTCACATTTCTATTTAAAATTCAATTTTATGTACAAGTCAATAACTGGCCGCCAAAGCCGCGCATTCTTGAAAACAGGATTAACTTGATTATAGTTATACGACTATGTAAATTAAAAACTATCCGTGGTTTTTTCTTTTAAATAAATAAATTATAATTTTACCTAAGTCCAAAGCCAGCTTTGAAAAATTTACTATTAAATCATAATATATCGTCAACTTTAAATATTTACAATGCAACAATTCATTAATCTGTAAACACGCGTACTCCAGCCCCTAAACGCATAAATTGTTATGCGGCGCGGCTCAAGCCGCGCACGCACGTATTATTTTATACTGTTTGCTTTCTAATAAATATCGTGCCAATGTGTACGTCTAAATTGTAAACGTTCATGTTTTGTGTAAAGTGAATCCAATTGGGACTAGTGACAAGGATAAGGACCCAAGTGCCTGTACGGCTTTTTCGGGCCCCTGTGGACCACTACTCTTGAAATCACTCTACAACATTGAACATCTATATCTACTACGTCATTTGGCAATTATTGTCATTAATCTAACTTTCTAATTAATTGCCGAGGGGGAAGAGTAAACGCTTCACATTAAAATTCAATATA